TTCCTAGCGCCGGAATTGTCATAGAAAACATCTCCCGTTTCTCTTCTTCTTCTTCCTTTTCAGGAAGCTAAATTTCCGCCATCTTTACCTTTTTCTTTATCTTTATCTTTTTCTAGTACCGTCTAGTATTTTCGTCTTCACTTAAGTTTCTTCATATCCTAGGTGGTTCATCATAGTGTAATGGGCATCATTTAAATGTAGTTGCTCGTTGAAAGAACTGTGTTTGTCTGTCCCTCGTGTATTTTCTGTGTTTTTAGTCTTTCAGTGTGAACAGTAAAAGCATCGCTGACCAAGGGCCAGGCAGCAACTGCCCAACCAAGATGCCTAAGCTTTTTGTGATATCGTTACAGCTCCTGATGATGTTCCTGGCACCAACGTGGTCCTCTACGGCGGTGAACGGCAACACGATCATCGGCGGCAACGTTACATCGGCGACGACTACATTTGTTTTCGAGATTACAAGCTCGTCATCGCTTCAGTGCTCCACGTGGAACGGACTAAATCACATTATCCCGACGGCGCTGATTGAAATCAGTCTTTCGCCTTCAACCACCCCCATGGATTCAGCGCCACTTGAAAGAAAAGCGGCTCCATCTTTCGACTCTACCAGTGGGCCAGGCAGCAACTGCAAAACCAAGATGCATAAGTTTCTTGTGATATCGTTACAGCTCCTGATGATGTTCCTGGCACCAACGTGGTCCTCTACGGCAGTGAACGGCAACACGATCATCGGCGGCAACGTTACATCGGCGACGACTACATTTGTTTTCGAGATTACAAGCTCGTCATCGCTTCAGTGCTCCACGTGGAACGGACTAAATCACATGATCCCGACGGCGCTGATTGAAATCAGTCTTTCGCCTTCAACCACCACCATGGATTCAGCGCCACTTGAAAGAAAAGCGGCTGCATCTTTCGACTCTACCAGTGGGCCAGGCAGCAACTGCCCAACCAAGATGCCTAAGTTTTTTGTGATATCGTTACAGGTTAGTGATTTCAAATACCTTGCTATCAAAAGCAACAATTTGTGCTTATTCTTGCTGCCTGGCCCCAAGGCTTGTTTTGCGTTGTACATAGAATGTCTCAGCATTTTCAGTGTTTCTGTTTCTACGTATGTTGAAAGTGTTAGTTACAGTCTGCTTTTGCTCCTTGGCGGGGACATTGAATCTAACCACGGGCCCATGACCAAACCCCAAGAAGAACAACTTAATAAAGTGCTTGAAATCGTTCAGACGCTACAGACAGGTCAGAACAATATCCTCCAGGAAGTTCGAGATTGAAAACTAAAGCAGAGTACGACCGAGGAATCAGTGAATGCCCTCATAACACGCGTTAATCGGGTGGAAAGCGAACTTTCGAAGTTAAAAGAGTCCGGCGTTACAATAAGTACGACTTCCGATCCGCAACTAACATCCGCCGTTAACGAGATATCTCAGCTCAGGGCGCGCTGCGATGACGCAGAGAGCAGAGCCCGTAGGTCAAATCTTATCTTTTTTGGTATTCCTGATACGGACAAAGAAACATGGGCACAATCTGAAAAGGCTGTTATTGATATGTGTCTCGAAAGATTAGGGTTGGAACTTGCATCCATCGAAAGAGCGCACCGTTTAGGAAGGTTTAGTCAGCAAAAACATCGGCCAATCATAGTAAAATTGTTCTCCTACAAAGATAAGGAGATGGTACTTCCTAACGCGCACAAATTCAAGGGAACACACCTTTCTGTGAGTGAAGACTTTACACCATCCGTGCGTCTTGCTCGAAGAAAACTACTCCAATTTGCAAAGCCTCAAGGCCTATCTTTCAAACTGCGTTTCGATAAGCTAGTTATGGGAAATAAATGCTACTTATATACATCTAGCACAGACTCTGTGAACGAGTTAAACTTCCGTGAACCTTATCAAACCTCAGCTGAACAGGGAGCTGAAATTTCGAAACCAAGCATTACCTCTTCCAATTGTTAGTTCATCTGGTAGTAACCCCGGAATTTCCACTCCTGCATCAGTTTTGCCTTAACAATCAGAGAGGAGTTACAGAGCCAATAATGATATCTGTGTGATTAATATTTCTGTTATTTTTACTAACATTAGAAGCGTTATGCATAAACGCCAGGATTTATCGTCAATTGTCGACTCATCTAACGCGGACATTATTGTTCTCGCCGAGACCTGGTTGTCAAGTAAAATACGCAATAGTGAAATATTAAGCTGTCAGAAACGTTTTAATACGTACCGTCATGACAGGGACGAAAGAAACGGTGGCGGTGTGTTAATCGCGGTAGCTGATAACATACAAACATTTCATATCAACACCGCTTCTGAACTTGAGATAGTATGGGTGGGTCTAAATATAAGAAACAAGAAATATATTTTCGGGGTGTGTTATCGTCCCACAAATGCAAGTGCCACTTTTGTCCCAAAGATTCATGATGCGATCAGTGCAGTCATAGCTCGTTTTCCAAGTGCACCCTTGATACTGTTTGGTGATTTTAACTATCCTTCCATAGAGTGGTCAGATGTGCGTACTTCCGTTAATCACTTTTCTCAGAGTGCAATGCGTTTGTAAACATGTGTCTAGATTTTAATTTTTCACAGATTTTTGCGCAACCTACACGTGTTACAGCAACAACCGCATCTTTGTTAGACCTCATTTTAACAACATCACCCGATCTCATCTCCTCACTAAGTCATATGCCCGGTCTTAGCGACCATTGTTTATTGCATTTCATGTTAGATATCCCTAAATGTTCCAACCCAAAGCAAATTAAGAAAATATATAATTATGCGAGGGCGGATTTTGAATCTATAAATAACGAATTATGCCTCTTTCTAGATAAATATACAGATGGCTTTGAGGAGCGCTCTGTTGAAAATAACTGGAATCTATTCAAAAGAAAGGTTGCGTCACTTATGAGTGTTCATGTGCCCCTTCGAAGCATATCTCTATCACCCCAGTCACCATGGTATAGTACGACTTTAAAGAGGTTGTCAAATAAAAAGAAAAGGCTATTTCGTTCTGCTAAAATGTCGAACGATGATCAACGCTGGGCAGTATATCATCTTGCTGCCGCGGAGTACAAAAAAGCAGTGGAGGAGGCGAAAGCCACCTTTTTCAACAGTACACTACCATTCATGCTAATTAATAATCCCAGGCAATTTTGGAAAGTTATTAGCCCCAGTCACAGTCAGGACGTAACGCTCAGGGATAATGACGGAGTTGAAGTTCAAGGTGATTTGTGCCCTTTTGTATTGAATGATGAGTTTGCTAAATCCTTTTCACTACCTATTACCTCTGACCATCCGGTTCTCCCAGTTTGTGAGTATCTGCAAATGAATCCAGTCATTGTTGATTGCGAGGGTATTGCGAATATTATTGAAACCCTAAAAATATCAACTTCAGCAGGCATCGATAATATTAATACTAAGTTTTTGAAAAATACTAAAATGTATTCAAGCATCATCTTATCAAAACTGTTTACCCAATCACTTGAACAACAGATACTACCTAGAGACTGGAAAGTGGGGAGGGTGATTCCTCTCCACAAAGGCGGTGATAAACATAATCCTTCGAATTTCCGTCCTATCTCCTTAACAAGCATCCCATGCAAAATACTTGAGCACGTAATATATTCCAATCTTATTAACTTTCTAGACTCGAACTCTTTTTTTCACCCAGCACAGCATGATTTTCGAAAATTCTATTCATGTGAAACACAACTCCTAACTTTTACCCATGACCTTCACGTCGTTCTCGACCTGGGTTCCAGGACAGATTGCATATTCCTTGACTTCTCCAAAGCCTTCGATAAAGTACCCCATGTACTCCTTCTCCATAAACTTCGTAACTTAAACATAGATAACAACATACTCAATTGGATAGAATCGTTTTTAACAAATCGTTTTCAATTTGTTTGCGCCAACGGAACTAACTCATCATTATCAAGTGTTAACTCTGGTGTTCCTCAAGATTTTGTGCTCGGTCCACTACTATTTCTTATTTATATTAACGATCTTCCTATGCATGTTTCCTCTTCCATCAGCTTGTACGCTGACGACTGTGTCATTTATAAGGAAATTATTAACGACTCTGACAATTCTGTTCTTCAAACTGATATAAACAACGTCACACAATGGTGCTCAGAATGGCATATGGAACTCAACACATCTAAATGTAGATCTATGAGAGTGTCCAGGATAATAACACTTGTCCATCCTACAACATCATTAACTCCCCCTACTTTCTGTTACTTCCTATAAATATCTTGGTGTGCATCTAACCAATGACCTTTCCTGGAATTTACATGTTGAATATGTCACTAACAGCGCTAATCGCTTACTAGGTTACCTCAAAAGAAACCTTTCGCTTACTCCTGTTTCATTAAAGCTTCTAATCTATAAGACTTTAGTCCGTACTAATCTGGAATATGCAGCCTCTATCTGGGACCCCGCAGGAAAACATCCCGGCATTGTCTTTTTCAGAAGATTTTTCACTCTAATCCAACACTTCGTCAAACATTATTCTTAGAACCATCTTACATTTCGCTACGAACTAATCACCATCTAAAAGTGGGCGTCCCCCAGTGTAACACCTCATCTTTCAATGCCTCGTTTCTCCCTCAGACCTCAATAGATTGGAATCGCCTTCCTGCACCCATAGTCTCGATAACTGATGCTACTGATTTTAAAATTGCCATTACTAAGTTTTTCGATGTTCAATAACTTTTGTTTTATGTCTTGGCTTATCTATCGTTATACTCATATGTTTCCGTTAAAAAAAAAAAAAAAAAAAAAAAAAAAAAACCCACTCCTCTCTGTATTGTCTTCGAGCCCTGAGAGAACAATAAATGAAATGAAATGAAATGAAAAAGTCTGGTGCAGAGCTGGAGGAGACTCTCAAGGCAGCACGTGCCATTGTTGGCCATTTCCGACAGTCTGCGAGTGCTCAGAGGCAACTGGAAGCTATCCCACCTCGTCACGGGCTGCCAGTTTACAAGCTTCTGCAAGATGTTCTCACCAGATGGAACAGCACATTCTACATGGTTGAGCGACTCTGAGCAGCGGAGAGCTGTCAGCGAGTTCTTCGAAGACAGCACGAAGCACTACCTTGCGCCACGGCAATGGGCTCTGCTCAAGACCATGGCAACCGTTTTGAAGCCGTTTGAGGAGGCAGCACGCCTCTTCTGCATGGACACGTCGACGCTGGGACAAGTGTTGCCCCTCCTCACATTCATCGAGAGAACAGTCAGCCACACTACGACAGGTGCAGAGCTGGACACCCCGGCGTCCTGCCTTGCGTCATGCCTGCTCAATGAACTGAGCCTCAGTCGACATTTGAATGCTGTGAAGACAGATGTTCAGTACTGGGCTGCTACCCTACTGGATCCTCGTTTCTGGGACACACTTTCCACTCGCACAAGCGAAGAGGCCTCTGCATCCCCAAAATTGGAAATTGTGCGAAGCTACCTACAGCAGAGACTCCAGGATGTCCATAGCCAGGCATGCAAGGACAAGAGTGCGGCTGAATCATCACCCCAGAGCGCCCCCAGCACCTCCTCAGGCAGCTCACCACCCAGTAATTTTCACTCATGGTATAACACATCAAGCACAACAACTCCCAGGCCACGACAGGAAAGGCGGCAAACCATAACGGTCGTCAAGGCGCAACTTGATGCCTTCCTGGAAGACGAGGAAGTGGAATGCTACAACTCGCAGAGCAATCCCACCGTCTACTGGGAGAAAAAGCGGTACCTGTGGCCTGACCTGTACACCGTAGCTGTTGGATACCTTGCCTGCCCTCCAACCAGTGTGTACTCCGAGAGGGTATTCAGCACTGCAGGAGCCATCGTGACCGACAGAAGGAACCGTCTCACACCGAAGAATGTGGCAACCCTCAGTTTCATTCGCATGAACAGGGAATGGATCCCCAACATTCTGCCTGCAAGAGTAGCCAACAGCCTCAGCAGTGCAGCAGAGACAGCACAGGCCAGCGCAGCTGAGGAGGAACTGTCTGAACCGGAAGAAGAGCCTTTTCTGGAAAAGATGATCTTTGAGAGTGGCGACTGCTAAAGTGCCCTTGCATCACTCCCAATAGCCTATAACATACTGTTTCAAGTTGTTAATTTTCCTGCGAACGATAAGCGGCAACTGCAGTAAAACTAAGCACACTACTCAAGGGCCACGACGGAACACACAAACCACAACGGTCGTCAGTGCACAAGCTGATGCTTACAGGAAGACGAGGAAGTGGAATGCTTAATTAACTTGCGAAGCAATCTCATCATCTATACTAGAAGGAAAAAAAAATACAGGTATAGCCACACTTAGCTACAACAAGCAGTTCGTGGTTTTTCCGTCCTCTAATTGCCGACATAGCAGGTGTGCTTACAAATACGCCACATGCGGGATGCAGTGAACTTGTTCTTCCAAACTGCGCAACGTTTTGGAGTGCACTTTCTTTGTGGGTGCTGGTAGGACAGGAGAACCACGGACTGCTTGTTGTAGCTAAGTGTGTTTAGGGGTGTACCTGTACTCTGACCTGTACACCTTAGCCACTGGATATCTTGCCTGCCTGCCAATCAGCATGTGTACACAGGGGGCGTAGCTACCCTGCAGGGGCCTTCATGATCGTCAGAAGGAACCGCCTCACACTGCAGAATGTGGCCATCATCAGCTTCATTCAGATGAGCAGGGCATGGAGGCATAGGCAAGCACAGCTGGAACAGTCTGAACCGCAAGAAACATTCCTGGAAAAGCTGACCTTTGAGTGGCGATTGTTTATGTGTTAATGAACCACTCCTAGTCCTTTTAACTTTTACTGTTTCGACGTGTTTATTTTTCTGCAAGAGAAGCAGCGAGTGCAATAAAACTATTATTTATTTCTGACAACACTTGCTTGGACAGGTAGTTCCAGGAGCATTGAGTATGGTTAAGCTCCTGCGAGAAATGCAGATTGGTATTCGAGATAGTTAGTGTTGCAAACCACGAGCGGCGCACCTGAAATGGACTAAGCCCTTGGCCCGTTTCTTCTAGTATCTGTTTTGTTGCTTCCGAAGATGTGCAACGCGTAACCTTTCACGGCCGACTTGCTGCCGAGAACGGAGAACAAGTGCAAATTAGCGAGGTTTTCCTTTGCCACCGGTGCCGGAACCGTGCGTGCCGGTACGCGGTCGAAGTTGAGACGAGCAACATTCATCTCGCTCTCGCGCCTTACAGGTAGACACACGCAGCTCTAAAGAAGGAGGCGAATCCTTTCCTTACCTGAATATATTTATTGTGCGCTGCGCCACATTATTAATAATACACTGCCTTTCGCTGCATTTTGCCGATCACCGCGAAATCGCAGAGAAACCGAGACCGTGCATTGGTTAGGCCTACGTCAACCACACCGATCAGCTCAGCTGGACCGGTCGCGTGCCAGGGTTTAACAGTGCAGTGCATACTATACGTTGAAATAAACAAGACGAAATCTGGTAATATGCAGTAACAATACCTAAAAAGAAAACACAACTAACCGTATTCGCGAGGTTTACGACAAGTTTCACGCTGTCGACTGCAACCTGCGACGAACCTGGCGAATCTCCGAATCGCCCGAATATTCGTCGCGGGAAGTTCGGAAATTTCCGAATCTGTCCGAATCCGAATCTCCGGTGATACGTCCCATCACTATTAGATTCAAATAAGAACGATATAATAACAGTATAAAATTTCTTAGAATATATAAGAACCATACAAGGAATTTGTGAAAAGTCTCTTATAAGTTCTTTTATGGTATTTATAGTCTTCTATATCTCATATAGTTCTTAAATAGTTATCATATGTTTTTATATATATTGTATGAAGCATTTGTTTATTGGACACAATAAACGAATGACTTTTCAACTAGGGGTACGGTCTGTTAAAAAAAAAAACGTGTGGTTTTAATTGTTGACGTCTGTTGAGAGGTTTTTACGTATAATAACGATATCGGTGTCTGCATCAACAGTAAGTACCGCGCCACAATTTTGCGACGTCCTCTCGTCTTACTGGAACCTGGGATTTGGGCAAAACTTATTCATCATTTGAAGTTCTGTCTGCACTTGATAACGTCAGCTTAAAACAGCCTTTTCCGGTAAGTCAGTGTTTCTGTCAAAAACCATTTGTTTACGCTTAGAAATCAGTAGAATGGAATTGCACAGTTCAGCCTTTCCGTGAGTGGGGTTGAACCGAGTGTTTGCATTGCAAGGATTTAAGAGGAATGTAATTGTAGGTAGCTATAATTATCCAAAACTAAGGTCGAACGGAAAGGGGTGCCCATTCTGCAGTACTGAGTTTTACCACTTGGACCGCCTGGCTCCCTACTCGCATTGTCTGGCTCAACGATCGAAAATCTCCAACCATGTTCGTCCTCGATATGATACGCTACAACACAGTGATGGGAGCGCTCAATAAAAGCGCGAAGCTCGCAGAGTGCTTCGCAGCAACAGCCTCTGCCACTGGCGCGGTTTACGTTTTGCCAGCCTCAATAGTGTTCGCAGGCGTATCACTCATATCCGGCCGCCACAGCTGTCGGCACCTTGGCCTGGGACACCATTACCGTGATTATCCGTTTGTCACCATGAATATCACTATTGATGGGGTCCACTTATACATTAAATATTAAAAATGACACTCGCCGTGTAATACTTGTTGCCACGCCCTCAGCAACTTTTGTGTGTGCAACTAACCCTCATGCAACTCATTATGTGCAATTCGCCGACAAGCAGCTCACCGTGTGCAACAAAAATAGAACTCACTGCATTTAAACCAAAGCAGCCACAGCATGCAACTGAACCCGCGCCACACCCAAGCAGCCGATTCACCGCGTTTCCTTCTCAACCTAGCAACTACCCATGTGAAACCGAACGCGGCGACGCAAAGCAATTGCAGCGTCCGATTCGCATTGTCTGGTTTACTCCGAGCCTTCACGGACTGCATCTCAACACAGCAGACACAAGGAAAACCCTCAGCAGGGCGATTTTAATGTGAACGACATTTTTATGATCCTCCCGATACTCCTGGCCCTCGCGGGGTGTCCGCGCACCCCGCGAGGGCCAAGCGCTCCAACTAAGGTCACACCAAGCGCTCCAACAGGCAACAACATATATCAACCACACTCATTTACGAGGCGCGGGACATACGGCAACCCTTTACACAGTATTATCATTACGTTCCACTTCTCTATACTCTCGCCACTGGGGAGAATTTCCGAAGCTTGCTCGCTTCCACGGTGCCACAAGCAAGTCGAACTCCTCACCCGGGATGTTTGCTGCGCAGAAGAGATGTCTGAATTGTCTGAGAACCATGAATGAGTGTCAAAATGAACATCACGGCGCTCCCCGAGGGGGCTCTGCCTCCAAAGAGCGAGAGAGACAAGCAGGGACCACTGGGCAGAGCGTACGAAACCTTCGTTCGCAGCTAAATTCACCACGTACTAAAGTAGTTCAATAAAATATATTTGCTCAAAATATCAAATACCTACACTTCATGAAAACGCGAGGAGACATAGCCATTGATTTCTTTGCCGTAATTGTCTCAAAAATCCCCAATATAAGATCACACGATATATGTTTTTCTAATAAAGTCCGACCAAACATTGCGACATGCCTTCTCGGCCTAATCGTCCTAAGACACTAGAAATGTAAATTGTGTATTGTCTAGTACTCTTTTGAAACGCGAGGAAAAATCGCGACGTGAATATTTTAATTTAAGCATTCGAGAATACCTAAATTCCAACTTGTAAAGCGGGAGAATATTTTCCCTTTTTATATTTATCTAAAAAATGGGTATACCGCAATGTTTGGTCGTTTCTGTTTATTAGAGAAAAAGGTCCTGGAGGATTGATATATTGTGTGTTCATTGTTGCTGAGGGCAGGTAGATTTAGCGTCCGCCATAGAGAGGCGATCTCAAAATGCTCTCCAGTGCCCTTTCGGAAACGAAGGATGTGGCGAGTCCCCGAGCGAATCATTATCCTTCCAAAAAGAACGAGATCGCACCGCTAGCAACGCCAAAGAAACTATCTCGAAGCAAGGTGAACGAACATAATTATCCACACTCTTAAAAAAATGGATGTAGGTTTTTCTCTCTGAAGGAGAAATTGGAGCTGTGGCCCACGTTCCTTCAGATACACAGAAACTATTCTCCTTGAAAACAGGTAAGCAAAAATATTTCGCCGTCGGAGCCTTATTACGGCGAGAGCTAATCTAGCTCAATAAGGCTTCACGAGGACGATACGTCTATAATACAGGGCTAAAGGAGCAGTAAATTAAAAGCGCAACACAAGATTTCCCCAAGCTGCATTTCTTCCCGAAGCCCGCTTGACCCGCAGGTAAAAATGAAAGCCGTTTACAATTCCCTGTAACGCCGTTTAGAGCGCAGCTCTTGAGGAGGAAGATGGAAGCGTACTGAGGGATAGTTGACTCCCTGAGGTCACGTGACCTCAAGGGGGTCACGTGACTTCAGGGGGTCACGTGACCTCAGGAGGTCACCCCCACCAGGTCACGTGACCTGGTGGGGGTGACCTCGTGAGGTCAAGTGACCTTAAGGGGTCACCTGACCTTAAGGGGGTCACGTGACCTGGGGGGTCACGTGATCTCGCGGTCACGCCGACGCCGACGCCGACGCCGACGCCGACGCCGACGCCGCTCAAGCCGGGAACGGCCCCTAAGAGCTGCGCTCTAAAACAAATAAAAGAAATCTGCGTATCGAAAGCGTTTGCTCAGTCTTCTCGTCCTCAGCCGTACATTGTTGAACGGAAGCATCCCAATACAGAGTTACTTAGACCACTTGACGTCTTCACATTGCTGCTCCTTGTGCCATAACTTCTTCGCGAGCACCGCATATAGCAGGGGAGTGGTAAGATATTCGCGGAAACCCGAAAATATTGCGAAGCATGAGAGAAGGCTTAATCCCACTCCACCACATGGCAGGGACAAGCAGAGTAATTGTAAGTAGCTAGGCTAGGTTGCTCTTGGTACCGCCCATTTCACGTGCCACACAAATAATTTTACTTGCGCACGCCAATATTGCCCTTCGGTTACCTTTATTATAA